GGGGAGAGCATGAGATGAGGGGGAATAGAAAACTTTCCTAGGGAAATTAGGGAAATTTTCTCCAGTCAACCCATTTCTGAGTCACTCTTCTATTGTGAGAACAGATTCGAATATACACTAAAGGCAACGTTTATCTGCTCTAAGCCATTGCTTTGTGTTTCGGGCATACAGCTTCCACAGGTACCCAAAGATGCTTTTGCCATTTCCTTTGCACACATACACTTTGGCCTTCATTTTTTTTTTATTAACAGTCTTTGAGGATGACAGTTTGCTACTGACATTATAGTCTGGCTTGCTTTATTTAAAAAATGTGATATACATACAGCAGTTGCCATGACAATGCTAATTATGATAATTGCTGCACATGCTGATTCTAAACACAAGAGGGTACAAACGTCCCATCATACCAAGGTCAACTTTTTTTTTTTTTTTGAATAGTTAACTCCAGCACACAAGGAGCCATACTTCTTCCATATGAACTCAGGAAGAGAATATAAAGCAACCACCCTGCGTTAAACCCTTCTCCCCAGCAGCTCTCCCCAGCAGAGCCTTATCCCTGAGGGTGGCACTTGTAGAACATTAGCCAGCACCCCACCTCCAGCCAGGATCCCACGTCAGCACTGCCCCCTCCCCTGGCCAGTATAAGAGATGGACCACCTGAACCTATTTCCTCTCAGGAAACCTAGACCTTACCATCACCCTGCCCTGCTTTCTTACTAGTACATGTAAATGATCTTACCTGCACAGAAGTGAGCACACAGTGCTTCCTCTGACAACTCTTTCTGTCCAGGGTGGTTAACAAGACTCTGCACAACAGAGCCATAGACACCTGCAGCAGTTCAGTGACTTCTCCTGCCTTTCAGGAAAGCTCTGTAGCCTCATCCCCCCCACAACTACTGATGGGAGCTTCAGGACCCATGGGAACAGAAGCAGTTCTGTACTTGGGTACTTATTTACTACATGGGGTACTTATTTGATGCTGCTTCAGGAGGCTTCCAAGGTGAGAATCATAAGGAAGAACAGTGAAGCTGAAGAGACTTCTTAAGTCTCCACCGGAGATCACATCAGGGATAACTCTAAACCATCACATGGAGACTTCGTTACAACAGAGGTCAGACTGGGTGAGGACCAAGACAGAAAACAGAGACAGACAGCAGACAAAGATGTGCTTCATGTCTGAAATGCAAGCATGACCCAGCAAGCACCAGCTCAGGAAACAGCTATTGGCAACGAACTGGCAGCCTACGCCATGCTCCCAAGCTGCTCGCGTGAAGTGTCACACAACAGAAGAACCCACTCAGTATACCTGTAAGCTCTCTGCATCCAGCGCTGTCTGCTCCTCCAGGGCAACATCAAAGAACAGCTTATTGATGATGTGTCTTTTGCTGACCTAGACATAGGAGACGGGAAAGAGGTTGAAGGCACAGATACGGAAACATAGCTGATATGGAGGACAACTGCAGAGGAAGGAGGTACCATCTTGTCACAAGGCCACAAAAGGCAAGTCTGATCACAAGGTTGTTATCATTACTGATAATACTCTGCTTTGGCTCATTAGCACAGCAGCACGCCTCTACCCAGCCTTGGGAGCATGACTCCAGCCGAGCACCTAAACTGCAACAGAAAGATTCAGGCACTTCTGAAGCAAGTGCAGTCTGTTCTCTGGCAGCTAAGGCCCAAGCAGCTGACGCTGAGCTAACATGATGCCAAATCCTAAGACAGAAGTACGTGCTGCTTTCTGCAGGCAGAAGGTGCTGTAATTGAATTTGATAGCTCTCCACACCTCCCCCATGCAGTTACAGCTTTGTGTTTTAAGTATTATATACAGTCATGACACCAGCTAATTGCATAGTTACTGCTACATAAGATGTTATTTCGCGATAACTCCATGGTAACCCAGAGATGTAAGAGGTAGTGAAGAACAGAGGGAATCAACAAGTCAGGGAAGGAACAAGGGCCAAGACCTTGAGAGGAAAAAAGAAACAGGAACACAGAATAAGCCCAAGCTACAGCTGGCTAAAAACCTATGCTTTAATGTAAGCCAACATCTCCTGCAGCCACTACAAGACAAGACCTACTAGTGACCATCAAGGCTGATAACACAAAGGACTCCAAAGAAGTTCAGTTCCTGATTAAGCCACTGGATCCTCAAGCCCTAGTTTTCCATCTCAAAAGCAGGGCCATCCTTCTCTCCCAGCCTCTGCTTTCCTTGACTAGGAGCTGAGCACTCCAAAGGAAGGACTTAATAAGAATCAGGCCCAGTGGAATGGGATACTTACCTAATGGTAGCAAGAAGGGTAACCCAGAAATGCAAGGCTGAGGTCCTGATTAATTCCTTTCAGCCCTTTCTTTCATTACACTGATACTTAATTTACCCAAGTAAAAGCCATGAAATCCCAAACGTTCTTTATAGAGTAGATACAACACAGACAGCAGCAGGGCACCCTTGGGAACCACTCCCTCTGATCAGAAGGGTCACAGATGGGAGTCTGATCCCTAAGCTCTTGGGGAGATATTTTCAGGGAAGGCCACAAGTGACAAAGTTCTCACTGCTTCATACTATCAATCTTTTCCTTGTGTCACCATGATCCCTGCCCGTGGTTCCTCAGTGCCATTTGCAGAGTATCATGTCGTAGGCATACAGAGGTGTACACAGGTGATAGCTTTACCTGGATTCTGCACTGAGGACAAGTCCGGCTTGGTGCTGTATCAAACCACTGAATGAGACTGAGGAAGGAAAAGAAAACACACGGTGAGTCCTTACAATTCAGGAGCACTGCTCCCATGGGCCACACCCCAGCAACTCACCAAGAGAGACAGAAAGCTGTATCTCCTTTTTATAAGCTAAAAACAGAAATCTAAACATTTAGTGCAGAGGTGCAGCTAATGGGAACTACATGTTCCAGCATGCGCACTCCACCTTCATCTTGGAGACAATTCCCCGCTGAATTTAGCATGCAAGCTTATCTCTTTACCAGGGCAGGTTTTCTACGTAGCTCAGCTCTCCCAGGAAGAAAGTCCTTGAACAACACAGGAGTGGATGGATTGACACACAGAGCAGTACCAGAGCTGCTATATCAGGACATGACAGCTGAGAGGTTACCAGTTTGGCCAACTCCAAAGGGTGCCACCCAACTTCAAACATGCATGTTGCCCCCACGCATCAGAACGAAGGAGACTGAGCCAGTCTCTGCTAGACATGATGAATACAAGCTTTTGAAGCTCCCCAGGAGAGCTACTAATGCATTTCACAACCAAGCCTTCACATCTCACTCAGAACAGTTTATCTTTGGAGCAGGGTGACAATTTGGACCTAGGAGATTAAGCTTGGATGCTGGCTCTCCCTCCTCTGTCGACTGTTAGACAAGAACAAGCCCTAGCTGTGCCTTTGGTTAAGAAGTGACCATCACAGCTGCAAGTGATAGTCCTTCTCCAAGTTAGTTAACTAGGGAGAAAAAGTAAGCGTGCACTCCTTCACCACACAGAATTTATCTCCTCAGAAGAACTGTTTCCTTCCAACACAAACACACTTGCAAAACAGTTCCAGCAAAAGCACGAAATTGCCTGGGAGGCTTCACTCGTAATCTAACACTGCTCCTTCCAGAGAGCGCACAGATAAACATACTGTGTAGGAGCAATCTGCTGGCACCATCCCTCTCGGAGAAGGGAGGCCACAGGCAGAGGAGTGACAACGCAGCTGCGTCTGAGACTCTGCAGCTTCATTTACTCTAGTAAATCTCTGCAGCAAAGCTGCAGAGTTGCCACTATGGCTTCTCCGAAGTAGTCAGAGCCTCTGCTTCTAGTAGAGAGAGAGCATGCTCTCAGGGACCAAATCAGAGCTACAGGAAAAGGAGATCACAGAAGATACCAGAAGCGGGGTAAAACTCCAAAGCCTCCTTAAGCATAGGAAAGCAACTTGGAGAAGAAAGCCTGATTACAAGAGCAAGATCTTCTCTGAAACGTGCAGTAGGGGCTGCTAAGAGGAAAGGCTGTACGCATTACCAGGGTTATCACAGAGTCAGTCTGAATCTAGCCACAGCCTTGCCCAGGAAGGGCACAACACCCCAGAAGGGATGGGGGTCCTGGCCCACTGGGGGGTAGCACTGCAAAGGGGGAACCTATCATCCCTCCAGCCCACCCGAGATGAGCTTGCCGGGATGGAGCTGCATCATTACAAGCTGCGGACAGCTGCCTCACGCCACCAAGCAGCTGCCCCATACAACAGCTGGTGTAACTGGGGAAGGCAGAATAGCTGTCACACCAAAGGGAAACGCTCTTCTCCCATTTCAACACCCTCAAAAAATACTTTTGTAACAGGGATCTCTGGCATGCCTGTCCCCAGCCCCTATTCCCCAAATGCAGAGTTAGGGGGCCAGGACTTCATCCCAAATCGACTCATCCAGCCTGAGGGAAAGCGAGAAGGCCATGCCCAGCACGACA